AAAAACTTTTGGGGTAAAAATCTATCGTAAGATAGTTTTCTATTTAAGATACATAAATAATTTAGTTTATTCAGCATGAAATGGAGCTTAGTTATGTAGCATGAGGCTGTATATTCTGCAACACTGGGACTATCGGTGAGTCAACAGTGGGTCAAAGGAGTAGCAGAGATGACAGTTGCTCTTTAAAAATTATGATTTAAATCGAGTTGATTTAAATCAAGCCTTTTTACTAGTGATTTAAATCATGATTTAAATTGTGATTTAAATCGAGTTGATTTAAATCAAATCCACCCTGTTCTTCACTGATCCTGACTATATCAAGATAGCAAACCTGAAAGGAATAGTACAAATTATTACTTTTTTTTTGAGCCTTCAAAAAAGTGTTTAATAACAGAAATCAGCAAAATAGAAGTATTTTTTCCTTTGTTAGCAGGATCAAAGAAGCATTGCAGGTAGTCCTCGATTTACGACCACAATTGAGCCCAAAACTTCTGTTACTAAGAGAGACAATTGTTAAGTGAGTTTTGTCCCATTTTGCGACCTTTCTTGCCACAGTTTTAAGTGAATCACTGCAGTTGTTAAATTAGTAATATGGAAGCCTAAGTAATCAGACTTCCCCATTGACTTTGGTTGTCAGAAGGTTGCCAAATGGGATCACATGACCCTGGGACACTACAACCGTCATAAATATGAAACAGTTGCTAAGCATCCGAATTTCGATCACATGACTATGGGCATGCTGCAACACTTGTAAGGGTGAAAAAACAGTGGTAAGTCACTATTTTCAGTGTTGTTTGTAACTTTAAACAGTCACTAAACGAATAGTTCTAAGTCAAAGACTACCTGTATAGAATTTGTATTGGTATAGATGTAATAGTTGTTTTTGAGTGAGTGGAGGAACTATATATGCAGTGCTGAATAGCAGAGAAAATTTTTCTTCTTCATCTGAACAGGAGGCTTAAACTTCTATTTTTGAATTCTTGCTTGTCTATAACTAAAGATATAACAATAAATGTTTTAAGCCTGTGATTTATTTCCCACAAACTACTACAACATGCTTTATTGTTGATAAATAATCTGCATAACTAGAACTAGACAATTTGATTATTCAAAATGACCTCAGATGCAAATCCATTTACTTGATCCATCTCAAAAATAACTGGACATTATTTTGAAGAATTAAGAGGGGAAAAAAACTATGCCCATTTCCATTCTAACTTGATCAGTTTATGAAAATTAATCTCTACTTGCAGTATTCAGTTTTTGTTTCATTTCTTAATACTGTGAATACAGATTGCCATAATGATGCTAGGAAAAAGACACACCCTACAGTAGCCTTTGTCTGATATATTCAAAGGAAAAGTAGTAAATTGTAACTAGACTACTCCCCTTTGACTTATTTCCTGTCTCTTTCCAAAGAAAAGAATGTCCTATACAACATACATATATTTTACAATTCCCCCCCAACACATGCACCAAAGAAAAATAGAAATTAACAGAGGAGAAAAACACTCTTGAAGAAGTATTTCATGGTAAAAGGCTTTCACTGTTGATCTGCATAACTTATTTAACATAGAAGGAAGATGAATAATGTAAAATAACTTGATTGCTTGCATACGGAACAGTGAAAGTAAGTTAAAAAAGAGAAATAACTAATATGGGTGGAATGGGCTAATCCAAATAAAAGAAAGTTAGACAGGTTGTATATGAGCAAATACAAGTTGAAAAGTAATGTTATATGCTTAAATTTTCAATATGTACAGTACTTAATTAAAGATCTTTATATAGAAGATGAGCCTTCCATACAAGAAACTGAATATACGAACTGCTGCAGAACATACGGTGATAGCTGGAAACAAGCCTTAAGAGTATTTCAGGTAGTCTCAACTTATGACTGTTCATTTAACAACGGTTTGAAGTTATGACGACCTAAGAAAAGTGACAGCCTGTACTTGACTTGCACTTGTATAACTGTCACACTACCAGCTAGCATTTACCACAGCTCCACCATCTTATATGTGATCACAATTTACAACCTTCCCACTTGGCTTTCAACAAGTCAACTGAGGAAGCCAGATTTGATCCAATGATAAAAATGGTCATCATTCCAGGTCCAATCACATGTTGCCTTGCTTCACAACTGCATCATTTAGTGACTGATATTCTGGTCCCGATTATGGTTGTAAGTTGAGATCTACCTGTGCAACTTCTGCAATTTCCATAACATAGTTTCATATGCAATAGTTTTCATCATAAATGCCTTTAGCCTGCAATATATGACCAAGGCTAAATATTACTGTATAACGTGAGCAACAATAGTTAATATATATGTTTAAAAGAATACTGTACAGCAGATAGGATTTGCTTTTTAATTCACCCCTCCCCTATTTGTTTCCAGTAAATTGCATCCCACAGGGGTGATTAAAATGATCACCATGCTGCATTACATGTTCACATCTTCATGTTCTTACTCCCTGGACACAAACTAATCTGTTGCCTTCTCATTCAGCATTTGCACTGACAAACAAAATTAGTGAATACTTTTGCTATTGCTAGTTTGTCTTTTTAAAAAATGAAACTCCAAGTCAGAAAAACTTGAGTAAAATTACATCAGACACTAATATTCTAATTAAAACATACAATAGCTTTGATAAATTGGCAATATGAATGCAAAGCACTATTCTTTCAGAAAGTAATCTGCCATGTATTGAAAATTGTTATTTGCAAGATCCATCCTATCTTAAAAGTTGCTATGATTTTTTTAACCATGGTGAGAGTTAGAGATTAGTTTGTAAAGACTCCCAAAGGGTTAAACAGGATTAATTATCTTGATAGAAATCTAAGTGTAATTTTAAGTGTAATTCTTCAAAAACAAATTAGGTAAAGTAATTTTAAAAATGAGTTAATGCATATTTAAATCCTGTCTTCATTAGTTCATTATTGTCCTCTTTCTCCTTGACATCTATACCACTGGCAGCAATTTTAAGGAATTGCTGCTGTTGACCATTAGTTTGTTTCTAAGATATAAAAAGCCACTAATCACTATATACAGTAATATACCGTAATATCTATTTATTCTTTTCAGAAGACTGACTTACATTTAGCTGATAATGAAAATTTTAAAAATGAAGATATGCTGCTGAGCTATGAAGTATGAAGGATATTATGTACTGTGTACATAACACTTTACATAATCAATAGATTTCTACTTAGTAAGAATAATAGGCATCTCTGTATTTTGAAATATGGCGTGGTGAATTCAAAGTATGTCATGATTCCCATTGTCAAGCAACAGGAAATAATCAATAGCACTGAAACTGTAGAGGATGGGAAAGGTAGGAGATTCAACTAGTGGAAAGACTGGAGGAAGAGATTTTCTAAATTAGCATGCTTAACTTATATAAACATTCTACATTTTTTAAAAAAAATGACCCTTCAAATTTTAGTATTCATGCAAGTTCTCAGATGGAAAGAATAAAGTATATCCTATATGAAGTGTGCATAATTATTCAGGTAATCACACAAGCCATCAAGTAACGTGGCACTCAGTGTGCCATTTCTCCTACAACCATTCCTATCAGAACTTGTTTTTGGTTCACTGTGCACAGTATCCATATTTAACCCCACACAATATACTTAAGAACCATGCTGCCTCTCTGACAAACCATGTACTATAAATGTTTGAATTGCTTTAACTACACTGGAAAAAAACCTGAGCTGTCAATTTATATAGATACAGGTAGTCGTCAACTTACAACAGTTCACTTAGTGACCGTTCGAAGTTACAATGGCACTGAAAAAAGTGATTTACGACCATTTTTCACACTTACGACTGTTGCAGCATCCCCATGGTCACGTGATCTACACTCAGATGCTTGACAACTGACTCACGTTTATGACTGTAGCGTGTGTGTGTGTGTGTGTGTGTGTCATGTGATCATGTTTTACAACCTTTTGACCCGCAAAATCAATGGGCAAACCGGATTCACTTAACAACCATGTTATTAATTTAACAACTGCAGTGATTGGCTGAGCAAATGGGCAAGCAAAGTTGAAAAATGGGACAAAACTCACTTAACAAATTTCTCACTTAGCCACATAAATTCTGAGCTCAATTGTGGTCATAAATTGAGGACTATCTGTAAAACTCATACTCTATTATCACAAACAGAGCCCATATCCTGTTGCTGACAGGTAACTCCAAACCCACTTTCGGTGGTGCCACGTTGACCCCCTTGTAGACCTATGCTGTGCCTACTCACTACCCACAGCTATTTCTACTACCGCTCCACAGAAGTGGGCAACACCAATGTGTATCCCAGGACCTCCCATCCTCCTGCGCCATCAATCCCGGGCAGCAGTTTGCTGCTATTCGCCTTTTTATATCTTTCTCACTCACTGTAAGAATCATCGCGGCCAGATGCCCGTCAACACCGCGCCAAGTGCCGGGCAACAAACTCCCCAACTCCACCCGGAGGAGTCAGGCCACCGCTTTGCCGCTATGTCCATCATCTCAGAACCCATCCCTCCTCCCCATCCCTCCCTCCAGCTTCTCACTGTGCCCTCACCGCCACGAGGCACTGCAAACACCAGCCGCCCTGTCGCCGCCGCCGCCGCCGCCGCCGCTCCCCTTCCCTTCTCTGCCAGGGAACCCGACCCTCTGGGGCTCAAGGGAACGGGCAGGGGGAAAGGCCCTCAGGACCCCATGGCCGGGCCGGGGCTTCCCCGGTCAGTTCCGTAGCTTCGCAGCTGCTCTCCGTTCCGTCGCGGAGCCACTTGTAAATCCTCCACCGGGGCTCACCGCCGCGGCCCTAATGAGCTTGGAAGAAGAAAGGGGGGGAGGGGGGAGGACGAAAAATTGCACGGACGAAGACGCGAAATTGTACTGCGCATGCGCGAAGGTTTCTGGATTCCCTTTTCGAGCACCTCCCCGTTCACTGCTCCCCTCCCGCCTGGAGAGGGAGAGGGAGGAGCTACAAGCGGGTGACATAACCAGTGGCCTCTCAGGAGATGGCGCGCCCCCCCCCACAACTCCCCGCCTTCGGAGAGAGATTCTCCTGCGGGCCTCAGCGCGGCGGACGCGGCTGTTTAAAAGATGTGGCGTCGTGGTTTTTCTCGCTCTCCATCTTTCAAACAGTTTGTTCTTGGGGCGAAAGTCCGAGAACAGTTTCAATTGTTTTAACATCCGTTTCAATTTGTACTTCAAATTGAAGTACAAGGTATGAAAATGTGAGGGAAGGTCTTCTCCTTGGATCTTTAGGGTGCACTGCAGGTGGTCTAGTAATGGAGCGTGTTCTTAAGTTAGAGCTAACTTCTTTAGATTTCAATGACTCCAACTATGCTTCGTGTAATCTGCAAACCCAACCAAAGAGTCCTGGAGTACGACAAATGTGTTGTCTACTTTGTAACATTTTGGAGAAATTCTAGAATTTAGACATCATATGTTGGGGGGAAGTTTTCTTGGCCAATGAAATTACATAGGTATGTGTGCTTTCACTGCTGTCATGTGTGCAGGAGATAATTTTTGGTTCTGGATATAGTATGGTAAAGACAAAAATCTAGGGATATTATTAATCTAGACTAGGGATTCCAAAAGGTTTTGTTTTCACACGTCCTTTTAGTGTAATCTTAATGTATACACCTCCCTTAAAAATTCAAACACCAACATCAACCAACATGAATAATGAAAGCATTACTGTACAATGAATCTGTTCGGGAATCTCTAATCTAGAAAGTCTTGGTTAAGCTTGTTAAACCACGTTCCATTTGAACGTGGAAATTGAAAAGGTAGAAAAAAAACCCCATTGTTTAATGAATACAAAATTGCAGTTTTTCACACAATTCACTATTCTTATTGTTGATTGATAAGATGAAAAAAATATTTCTTGTTGATCTTCTTGCAAGACGACACTAGGGGATGCTCTTGAAGCCAGAGAGAAAGAAATATCTGAGGCAAGGATTTGAGAAAAAAAATATGTTAATATGGATATGATGGTATCTTCTCTCTTTCCTTCCCTCTCTCACACAAACATGCAACGTGGATACACATTGCAATATCCTTTTGCTATATTTATTTAAAGCCTTTGCTGTTCTCAAAATTGATCTCTTTGCTGCAAATGTTTGACCGGTTTTTGAAGACCAGATATGGTGGACCAACTTTCTTTATATATTTGAAAATATAGATGATAGATAGATAGATAGATAGATAGATAGATAGATAGATAGATAGATAGATGATAGCTTCCACTCAGTATGAGTATTAAACACTATAGCATATCTTTATACATTGAGTCTATTGAATCACAAAGCTAACGTCAAGATAAACGAGGGGAGAATCTTCATCCAAAATGATGGTTCCCTTGAGTCCAGATCTCAATCAAGGGACTTGAGAACAAGGTATATGTATCCAAAGAATGGAGGAAAAGTCATTTCTAACCTCAAATGGGTCATCCATTTCTGTGACAATATCTTTGCTATCTTCTCTGGATCGTGCAGCATCCTGAAAGAAAGTATGAATGGGTTGTCATTTTGCCCCATCATTCTTGGGAACTATACATTTGACATCCAGACTATGTCCTCTACATCGCACAGCAGCACTTTTTCAACTACTATCACAGCTGAGCACCCATCATAGCAGAATTAGCTTTTGAGTATGTGATGGCAAGATAACATGAATACGCCATCCTTGAAGTAAATTTGAATTTAGCTTCACATGTGATTCCTGCATCTTACATTCTTCAGAATATCTGTTAAGATTCTTGTGAATTTATTTCTTAGATTACATCCTGCTTTTTCATTTACTAGCTCAAAGCAGTATCTATAGTATTCCATCCTCTTTCCCTACAACAACTTGTGTGAGACTGGTTGGACTGAAAGAGTAACTAAAATAACTCCTGGAGCTTCCATGTCTGAGACTGGAATACCAGTCCAACACCTGGTTTGCTAACAACATATTGACTTTCATGGCATGTGCTGATGGATAATGCCTGTGCTCTGCCTTCTGAAGGTGCTATGGCAGATGCCATCCCAAAGCAAATCCCACCCCCAACCTTTCTTAGGCTAATAGTGCCATCTGTCAGAAGGCACAAGGCACTCTATTCATATTTCGCAGAGTCTGTTTAGGAGGACCACTCATACTATCTAAGAGTAGGATTGTGGGTCTGCTGACCTATTTTATGAGGCTTCCCAATTTGGTGTCTCCTGGATGCCAGGGATGGGATTATAATGATACATATTTCTGTTTTTACTTCTCCCCCCCCCCAATCAGTTGCTCCAGCAGTGAAATCCAGCAGGTTCTGACAGGTTCTGGAGAACCGGTAGCGGAAATTTTGAGCAGTTTAGAGAACTGGCAAATGTCACCTCTGGCTGGCCCCAGAGTGGGGGCAAGCCACACCCACAGAACCTGTAGTAAAAAAAATTGGATTTCACCACTGCTCCAGGACCTATGAAGCTTGTTGTGGTTTGTAATACTTTTAGCCCTCTTTAAAATCTTCGTTCTCTTTCAAGGAGTGTTGGAGTGTCTGTTCTCCACAGACCATTTGTTTGGAGAGTCGCCTTACACTCAGGGTGCTCAAGGAAAGAATGCACACTGCTGGGAAAGGATCAGAGATTTAAATGGCAGAGGTTGAGTGATTATTAGAAGGGAAAATAATCAAAGTCACAGAGGAAAGTATGTGTGTGTGTGTGTGTGTGTGTGTAAATCTTTGTGTTGCTGCTTGAAGCATGCTGGTCCTTGGGTTTTTTTGTTCTTGGTTTTTGCTTTCCTTTTCTCCTTTTGTTTCTATATTTCCTGTACAGATATGCGCTTCCTCTCCAACCAACGGGGAAGGAATTGGTGATATCATAAAGCCTTGCCAGCAGCTCTGCAGTAACTAAATTCCCCAGCCTCTGAGAAACTTCCTACTGAATTCCAACCCCAAAGCCAAATTATATCTTTTAAACTAATCCTAAATTCATTTATATTTCACACAGCAAGTGAAGGCTGTATTTGTGCAGAATTGCTGGTAAAAGAGATTTTTCTTCCTGGAAAACCCAGTTTTCAGAGATCTGCTGCCTACCTTATACTGCAGCACATTTCACCCATTCCCAAACCAGAATGTTTTCCACTGGCTAACAAATATGAACCAGGACTTTAGTTCCTCTTCTTTCTGGTCTTGTTCTTTCTATCAAATCTTTTGTCACATCCTTAATAACTTCTCATGGGAAACTCAGTTCCATCCTTCCCTTATTATAGTATGTGTATGCTCTTACTGAGTGGTATAGCTAGATAATTTTTGGTTCTGGGTATATTTATTTATTTATTTATTTATTCAATTTATATGCCGCCTTTCTCTGGAGACTCAGGGCGTCTTACAATGCATTTTTTTAAAAAACTATTATAAAAACATTTAAAAATTAAAACATTAAAACCCATTCACACTATTCATGGCCAGATCTCATGAGATCGCAACAGCGAGATCAACGGCCCCAGGCCTGCCAGAAAAGCCAGGTCTTCACCGCTTTTCAGAAGGCCAATAGGGTGGGGATGGTCCGGACTATAGTATGGTAAAGACAAAAATCTAAATATATTGTTTATCTAGGGCTGAAAAATGTTTTGCTATCAACTTAATTTTATTATATTTTATTTATATTCCACCTTTATTATTTTTATAAATAACTCAAGACAGTGAACATATCCAACACACTTTCCTCCTGTAAGGTGGGTTGGGCTGAAAAAGTGTGACTGGCCCAAAGTCACCTGGCCAGTTTTCATGGCTAAGGCAGGACTAAAACTCACAGTCTCCTGCTTTCCAGCCTGGTGCCTTAATCAATAGATCAAACTGGCTCTAGTAGTCTTTAGTGTAATCTTAATGTACACATGTCCCTTACAAATCCAACACCATTTAAAAAAAAAAAATCTTTCCCTTGTTACTCTATTTTATTCAGATTTTCCCCTGAACCAGTTCTCCTTTGATTGTTGTCACAACCTTGGAGTTCTCCTTTTTAATTAGCTCTTAGTCTTACCGTTTCATTGGGCCTTCTGTTTATTAACTAACCAGTTTCTCCATATGTAGTAGTTTGTTTTTGAATCAATTGTCAGCTGATTGAAATTAAGTTTTAAGTGCTCTGAATTAGTATATAACAGTGATGGCGAACCTTTTAGGGACCGAGTGCCCAAACTGCAATCCAAAATCCACTTATCTATTGCAAAGTGCCAACTCGGCAATTTAACCTGAATAATAAGGCTTTACTACCAGTGGTGGGATTCAAATAATTTAACAACTGGTTCTTCCTAATGACCTGGTGGGTGTGGCTGGGGTGGTCATGTTATTGAGTGGGCGTGGCCAACTCTACATCACTCATGTGGGTGGTGCCTGTATGAGACAGGCAGGGTTGGGAAGGGAATCCAGGGGTCTCTGCTGAGTGGGGCGAGAAGGGGTGGTGAGAGGAAAGAAAGATTCAACCTATTTGTGTGTGTGTGTGTGTGTGTGTGTGTGTGTGAGAGAGAGAGAGAGAGAGAGCACACCGCCGCCAGCCCTGATACAATTCTCCAAGATTGGACGGATCTTTCTCTCTCTCTCCCTCCCTCCCTGCTTTAGGATGGCTTAGAAAGTCTGCCCGGCCCGGCATGGTGTGGACACCCCTCGCTTGCCCCTTTTCCTGGCTTCCCTCCTCCATGGTCTCCTCGGTGCTCGCTCACGTTCTCCTTTCTAGTCTAGCTTGAGGCAGCTGGCAATGCAACTCACATTGCCCTTTGCAAGCCTGCTGTCGGTAAAGCTGGGCACCGGTGAGGGCTCGCTTTTTGCCTAGCTTTGTCCGGCTGTCGGGGAGAAAACAGGTGGGGGCCTGGGGAGGAAGCCTGCATCAAGCTAGACTGGGAAAGCTGGTTGTGAGAAGAAGAGAAGTCGGGTGAGCTGGACCCAGATGCTTCCCGAATCCCGGAGTCCCAGAAGCAGCAACCTCACAGTCTCCCCTCTTGGATAGCCCTCTTCTTCTCACAGGATCATCTAGCAGCGGTAACGGAGAGGGAGGAAGGGCAGCGTTTCCTGCATGCTGGCAAATGGAAGACCAGCTCTTCCAGTTTCCAACAGTGCCGCATGCACAAAGGCCAGCTGATCGTCGCACGCATACATGCCAGAAACCCGGAAGATGAACAGGCGACGCCGCATGTGCCAGGTGACATGGCTCCACATGCCACTTTGGGCATGTGTGCCATAGGTTCGCCATCACAGGTATATAAGGATAAATACCTCCACCATATCTAGTATATTCTGCCTCATCATAAACTCTTGCATATAAATTACATTTGCACTTATTAAATAATATTACCAGATGATTTGGGGAGGTTCAAATTATGTCTTAACTCTGGCAAGTACCTGGACAGATCCATTGATGTTTTGGGAAGTAGTTTGCCATTGCCTATGTCAAGTGCAGGAAATCAGGAGTCCAGGTACTTCAAATGAATATAGAGTTAATGACATTAAGCTTGTCAGCTGGAAAGCTAACAAACCGGGTTCCCATTACTTGCTCCAGTTCTTGCCAATCTAGCAGTTTGAAATCATGCAAATGTGAGTAGATAAACAGGTATCACTTTGGTGAGAAGTTAGCAGTGTTCCGCTTGCCTCAGCAAATAGTCATGCTGGCCACATGACCATGGAAGTGTCTTTGAACAACGCTGGCTCCCTCAGCTAAGAAATGAAGATGAACACAACCCTCTAAAGTAGGACACAACTGGACAGGGGAAACCTTTACCTATATCTTTAATGCTTGGTAGTACAGTGGTCTAAGGCACCCTGTTATTAAGCTGGTTATTAAGACCAGCTGCCTGCAATTACTGCAGGTTCGAATCTCGCCAAGGCTCAAGGTTGACTCAGCCTTCTATCCTTTCTAAGGTAGGTAAATTGAGGACCCAGTTGTGGGGGCAATAAGCTGACTTTGTATAAATATACAAAAGGATGAAGGCTATTGCTGAGCACATTGTAAGCCGCCCTGAGTCTCCGGAGAAGGGCGGCATATAAATCAAATTTTAAAAAAAAATGCTCTCTACAACAATATAAGCTATTAACAATCAAAGCAAATTGGTGGTAGTTAAGAGTCAACGGAATTCAAGATGAGCTGAATATAGGCCTCTTGTGGGTGCGAAGGGACTCGAGACTGATTATGTGTTTGACTCCTCCCTCGGGCGCAGCCTGGTCATCTCATACAACCTCCTTCTTAGGGCTGAGAGAGAATGACTGGCCCAAAGTCACCCAGCTGGCTTTCATGGCTAGAACTCAACACTTTCCCGGTTCTGGTCTGATACCATAACCATTTCATAAAACTGGCTCTCCATTAGTATATTATGATGATTTAGTAAATTATATTTTGATCACAAAATATAAAGAAGACGTACTAAAAATTAATTTGATCAATGATAAAATGAATCTGCCACATCGTTATTTAATGTGAGCTTCTACTCTGATTAAGTCATTTGAAAAATAGACTTCAGGTATTTATATGCACTCTATTATTCTTGTCATGGGGAGATACAGCTGGGCACTGAAACTTCCACCCCAGCAAGGGCTTCACATTTATACTTGAGGCTGCACCATTTAGATGCTCCATATCCTGAATGCTCTACCTGATACTCAGTTTCCGCAATTTGGGAGTCTATAATTTACAAAATGCTGTTATATATCACTTCCCATAAATATGCTGTATTTGTCTGTAATTTATCAGTTTATTGCCACTTCTGCTATATTATGAACATTATATCTGCAAAAATATTGTATTCTATTAAAAGCCGAAACCTATAAAAAGCATAAAGAGACCGATTTACACTCAAATCCAGCTGTTATAAAACATATCTTTCAGTGTTAGTCTCCTGTTATCAAATAAAAACAGCCACTGTTACTGTGAAGATAAACAAAATTAAGTTTTGAGGAGCACCTTGCAAGTTGTAAATTATATAAATAGGATTTGAAGAATAAAGGATATTTGGCATTAAAGCTGTTAAGGCCTAGTAGATAATCAAATTCAGTATCAACAAATATGATATTGTTTTTGCTACTTCAGGCAAACATTTGCAGCCTACAAATAATGCCTCTGAATATACGTAAGTGGTTTTTTCATACCTTTTAGAATAAAATTCAATTTCGCTCTGCAGACCCAGACATAAGCAGATTTAGCTGCTTTGAATCATTTTATAGAATAGGCAAGATACATAAGGAACAACTTCTGTGCAAATGTTTGAAAGTGAATCTCTTCGGTTTTTCTACTAAAAAACTAGGATGTCCACATTCTTAAGCAGTGCTATTCTCAGTGCAGATCTCTGAAGAACTCTACTCCTACTTCCACTGGGTAAATTTTTCACCAGTGTAAGTTTATTGGCAAAGAACTTGATGTGCATTTTTGAAATGCAGTATTAAGTATCTCATATATCAATACTCCAACCATTCACAAAGGCTAGGCCTGCCAAGTTTCCTCTGAAACTATATAAATTGGATTGGGTGGCTATAACAAGCAAACAAATAAACAAACAAACATAAATAAACATTCCTTCTCATAATTCTCTTTTTCCCTACATCTATATCAGGGGTGTCAAACTTGCATCGTTACAGTGGCGACGTGTTGTATTGTGATTTCCCCCCCTTCGCTAAACTGGGCGTGGGCGTGGCCAGCACATGACACATCCAGCCTGTGGGCCGCGAGTTTGACAACCCTGATCTAAATGGACCTTTTCCTCTCATATGCTACTGTCCCATGAACGTCTTCTTTCTCTCAGTTCTCAGGTTTCCTCTGAAGCTATATAAATTGGACTATAACATTTATAAATACATAAATATATTGCTCAAAAAAATAAAGGGAACACAAGCAGAAGACATACGAGATCTGAATGAATGAAATAGCCTTATTAAATACTTTGTTCTTTAGATACAGTAGTTTATACACTGCTCAAACAACTAAAGGGAACACAAAACTACTGTATGTAATGAACAAAGTATTTAATAAGGCTATTTCATTCATTCAGATCTCGGATGTCTTCTGCTTGTGTTCCCTTTATTTTTTTGAGCAGTGTACATTAAAATAAATAAATATTCCTTCTCATAGTCCTCTTTTTCTCTTTCCCTACATCTAAATGAACCTTTTCCTCTCCTTATATGCTACAGTCCCTTGAACATTTTCCTCTCAGTTCCACACTTAGGCTTAAGAATAAGCTTCCATTCATGTCAATAATGTCTTTTTTTCCCCTATCCCAAGCTTAATTTTTGTATGACACAGATGAAGAGCTGATGCTGCAGACTGGAATCAAAGATTCCACAGGCCATGTTTCATTGCTGAGCAAGAGTTTCCCACACTATAACCTAACCATTTTGGCTTTTTAGATTTTTTTTCTACATATTGACATTAGACAACAGGTCTACAATTTCTTAGGTGGTAACAGGATAACTTTTTAAAAGTTGTAGATAAGGTTATCTACTTTCCAGTTTTCCAATAAAGAGGATGCTTCCATGTGGTAAGCATTTTTGGTACTACAAAACTTAGTAGTTCAGTAATTCATTCATATTCATCATTCATATTCATTCATTCTTTAAGAATTCTTTAGTACTATTGTTCAGACTGGTGGGTTATTTTTTATATTTCATAGAAATTATCATCTCTATTCAGTTTCCAAAATGAAAACCTTTCACTTATAGTATGATTTTATACATGTGGTGTTCTCTGAGCTTGGTTATTTGTTTGCAGATGTTTCAATACCTAACTAGATAACATTATCAGTGCTTGTGAATATTGGGTTTGCTTCCTGTTTATACATAGTAGTTTGCTCTGCTGTGGGTAAGTGTTTTTTTCTGTGGTAGTTCTTAAATTAGGGTATTGTTTTTACTTAATTGCTTGTCTGGTGTTAATTCCTGCTTATCTGGGTGTCAGTTGCTAGAGAGGATGTGTTCTGGTGTTTTTGTTTCCTTTGTGTTATCTTTTTGTGGTAATGAAAACTGACAAGAGTTTCCTCAATTTACATCACTTTGAAGGGGATTAGTGGGCACTGAGGAGGGCGGGCTGCTTGGGTTTTTAAAAAGTTGTTTTCTTTTCCTTTTGTGTGGAGTTGAAAATTCCTTACTCCAATGGAATGGAAATATTAGAAGGAGTGATTTCCAGTCCTTACATCCTAAGAAATATGTATTTTGTTTACATCTTTGAAACTTTTCCCCCACTTCAGGCACTGTCTATGACCATGGCCAGAGGCTTCGAGAAAAGCATCTAATTTCAGAATAGGTGACTGAATTTCATGCAAATAATGATTCAATAGTTGGGCAGCTGCATCTTGTAACAAATGCTCAGGATTTTAATCTTTCTTTTTTTCTGTTTTGTGGAGTAAAGAATACAACTTTAATTTCTTCAGGGCCACCACTAACTTATGAGAAGTGTAATTCTGGCCAAATTCCTCATTGCTTGGTTGGACAGAGCATTAACCGATGCAAAAGGTTCTCAGCATCCCATGATTGTCAGGATGAAGATGATCAGCAAATTCTCTTCCAACTGATCCAGAAGGACTAGACGTTGTGCCACATGGAAATGTCTATAATACCATTCCAACTGTTTTCTTGACATACTTTACCTGCATGTAAAGCCGCCTTTTTAATGGTTTTGCTTAATCATTTTAAACCATATGCTACTCAATCTTTCAACAAGACTATTTAAAATGTGTTAGTGATGTAGGTATGTTACATCTAAAATTTTAATAAAACAGCCAGAATACTTCTGACAATGCACATGAGGAATATTCTGCCAGCTATTGTAATTTACATATAGACAAATTGAAAAGATAATTACAAACACGCTCAGGCATGTCTCATGCACACAAGAGCCTCTTCCATGCTGGATGATCTGATCCTGCTTCCTCTGAGAAATATGTCATCAAGCCTAGCAGGTTAAGAATATCCATGTGCTTTTTAAATGCAAACCTCTTTCGCATCTGATTAGAGAAGTCTGTATTCTTAAAGAAGGGCTCCACAAAACTCTTTGTCAGAGATACGTAAACTAAACTATCTTTTTCATACAGACCCTGTATGTGTTACCTCTCCTTTTGCTGCTGCTTCTAACACTTCCCATGCTAGCGACTGTTGTCAGAAATGTCTTTCTGTTCTGCCAGGCTTAACCGTGAGGCAGCTACTTCAGGGAGTATAGAAAGTTGGTGTGACTTTTCACAGTCTATGTGAGACATAACAGCTGTGCTGACATTGCTGTGGGTCATGATTTGTGAGATAGATCAAAATGGGCTGGGTCCACACAACATGCTAAGCCAAAATCAGACAAAGGATATTAGGGGTGTAGCATGATCTGTGAACACAACCAGTTCTGTCAATTAAATAAACTTGGAAAAGGCTGGGTTCTCACACCAAGGTTTTTAACAGTGGGACTCATTCACAGCCTGTTCAAACATTCATTTCTGAATCCCTGAAGAGATCTATTGAGGATTAAAATGTATTCAGGGGAATGTCATTTCTGTTGTAAACAATGCTGGCTGTGAATTGTGAGTTTTAGACCAGCACATTTAGAAAGTGCCAAGCTGAAGAAGGATAGGTTTAGGTTTAGCTCTTCACTTCAATAGAGGAGCTAGATTTAAATCCTCAGTTGCAGCAATCATTTGTTTCCCCAAGAGAATGCTGGCTTGATGCCATTGCATGCCTGGAAAAAAAATCTTGCTAGGATGACTGAGATAACATATCAAAAGTCAAATACACTGGCTCATAGTTTGGACACAAGATCTTTTTCACATATACTGTTGCCAAACTGAGTCTCCCAATATATGTGCCTTTAACTTTTCTTACACAAAATGGAACATTAATTTCTCCCTGTTAAATTCCATCCTATTCTTTTCAGTCCATTTTTCAAAGTTTCCTAGACCTTTTTGATTCTTCTACCTCTTTGTTAAAGCATAAGCCATCCCTTCCAGCTTTGTTTCATCTGCACATTTATAAATATCCCCTCAGTTTTGTCAAGTCATTGATACAAATGCAGGCCCCTGTGGCATTCTACTCAATACTTCTCTTCAGGTTAAAGTAGATGTGTTAACAAGCACTTTTTAGTACAATTCTTCAGCTACTTATCAGAGGGAGATAAGCTGTTTAGGATGGCATAGCTCTATCTCTATGCCCTATGCTTTTTCTTGATTTATAAGCTAGTAATTATCAAAGAAGATGAGGTTAGTCTGGCAATAATTTATATATGACAAATCCATGCTGATGCCTGTTAATTGTAGCATGCCAATTTATAAAGATGAAGCTGAGAGATCTATAGTTCCAGGTCCTCCTCAAAGGTGGGGATACTACTTGCTTCTCCACTCTCGTGCAATTTTTAAGTAAGCACCTCTAATAATGAAACTGGGATCTTTTTTTTTCCAAGTTAAAAATGGGATATCTTATTGCCATTTAAAAAGACATTAATTTAAAATTGTTTTGCAAACTCCAGTGAGGAGCCAGGATATAAATGGCATTTTTTTGGTGCAACCAATATATGGATGCTTTAAACTAAATCTGTTCCCATTGGCCAAAGCCGAATACCTTTTGAGATGCTATACCAGCAGGATGAGGAAGAGGATTTCCTGGTATACAATCCATCAGGCTGTGCCATTGGAATAGGTGAACAAAATGCCTTTGTAATTGCTGTATTGGTGGAGCTCAGGGTTGATGTCATTCTTAGTCAAAGGTTTGCCAGAATGCGGATCTTGCCAATTTAGTTGTTCCAGCATAATCTTGTAATAGTGATATCTACACTTTGAGCTTAATAAAAGAAATACCATTGAAATGAATGTATGTATAATAATCACATGAATGTAAGATTGTGTAGGTGTAAATATTAAATCAGTTTCAGAATAATTAAACTTGGGAAATACTCAGCTGGCAATAGCCTATCCCTGCCCCTTGCATGGGATTCTTTGTCCTTGTTGGACATGCCCAGTTAAGGTAATGCAGCCTCCCTAATCAGTTTGTACACACTAGGAATTCTCACCAGAACTTTAGTAATTTAAATCCTTTGTTATTTATTGTATTTCAATATTTATATATTGTTTTATCAAGAAACATTGCCATGCAATGAACAATTTAGATAAATAGCAATCCACACAGAATTATTTGGTTGAAACTATTGACAGAATTACTGAATTTGGTTGCTATGTTTTGGTCATACAGAAGCAGCACTACATAAACATTCAGTTTTATGTAAACCTCTTGCTCCAATCTCCTTTTCATGGGATCATGTCAACCTTTAATTTTATTTGAATGCTGGCAGCATATTTCTGAGTCCCCGTTCTCGTCTCTTCCTTGTCCCAGCGTCATTTTATTATGTAATGCCCAGTGTTGAGGTGATATTCTACTTTGCTCAAAGTTTAAGAATTTATGATAATATTTGTTCAATTGAACTTGATTTTTACAGTTATATTTTACACCATTGCCACTAGCTGAAAGAGTAGACTAAAATACACACACACACACACACATCCCCCAAAGCATATTGTGGATTCATACAGTGATGACAAACTGAGGCAGAACACAGAGATGCCAATTCTTTGGAAAAGTGTTTTTATTATAAAAGTATGTTGCTGTATTATAAAAGAAAGGCTACCTTTGTTTAAAAAAGCCACCCATTGCTTTCATATTTACAATAGATTTCTATAAGCTGACAATCTTCTAAGATCTATTCAAAACTTCCGGTTTATTTCACTGTTTCCTGTCTTATTATTTTTCTCTTTTATGCTTATTCCATTTATTTGATCACTTTATCTTTCTAGCTACCTGTCTCCTGCTCTTATCCACCTGTTTCCTTTCTATAGTTTACTAGAATCTTCCTTTAGAGTTCTTTTTCTTACATTCTTATTGTCAGATATTGCCTGCATATGATGCACCAGAGACTAGAAAGGGTTAAGTCTTTACAGACATCACATGTGACTATATCAGCCAATGAACTCTCTTATTGGACTCTTACCTAGAAACCACTTGGATATCTTCCCCTTTCTTTTCTCTCTCTCTATCTCTCTCTCAGCAAGACAACACGTGAACGTCTCTCTCCTCTCATTATTTGTAAATAATAAAAACAACCTTTTGAACCTGAAGCTGTATTGACCAAATAACTTCTTCATAGAACCAAATGAGCATGACCAAATGAGCATCAATATATATCTGATAAATGGTAGCAGACGATGAAAAATGATTGCTCAAGTCTATGAAATTTTTGTAAATTTTAAAATCATAGAACTATTTTTCCTAACATGGAATCCTTGAACCTGAACGAACTATCTTTACAAGAGATTGATGCATTAACCGTATCCTTAACAAAACAGCACCAATCATTATCCAAAAGACTAAAAAAACTTTCTATTGAAGCTACGCAGCAAGTACAAACCTCTTTACGAAAAGACCCAATTTTTTTTCCTCCTCTTCACCCGAACACTGAAAGAACAGAACCACGCTTACAACAACCTTGCTTCGATCTCAATTCTACTCCACCTCATGACTATCATCAAGGACTTCAACCTTCTGAATCCCTTGTATGTTCCAACCCTATAACTTCAGACCAACTTTTATTTTCTCAAGCTTCTCCAAAACAGCATTTATATCAAGCTTTATATGTGACAGGCATACTAAATGCAGGCTGGACTCCTCAAAGAACTCTTGAACTGTTAAAATTCATGTAGTACCTTGTATTTGGCTCTCAGAGCCATTTTAATTCTGCCCTATGTCTGGTCAGAAGAGTTGCCTGGCAAAGCAGCCACCTCAAGAAGTCCTCTCTGGAGACAATGGTGGAAGATGAGTTGTTAACAGGGGCTCAGCTACTGTGGCATAACACCACAAAAAGAAGTGCCAAAGAGCTAAAAATGGAGAAAAGCTGAAGCAAGGGGACGAGGAGAGGAGAGGAGAGGAGAGGAGAGGAGAGGAGAGGAGAGGGAACTTACCCGAGGTCAGTGATGACAACAGTGTTCAGTCATCTGCAGGATTTAGTGGCAAGAAGTAAAGAGCTTCAGTGAGACTGTTGGTAAACCAAGTAGCTGCAGAGTTTGGGTGCAAGCATCCTTGCCTAGAGTAGAAGATAAGTGTTCATAATGGGTTCCCACATTAGGCTAAATATGGCAATCCTCATGTTTTTGATTTACCACTACAGTGCCTGTTAAAAAATATTTTGTAAATTAATCCCCATTCTGAGAGGCCTGAATAGACAGAATTTATCTTTTGTTCCTAGAAAAAAAATCTTCCTATATAAACCTCATGTAGAAGAAGGACTGGCAAGCCAGGGGGAGGAGTGAAAAGAGGGATCAACCTAGAATCACTGCATAGCCACCAATGAACCAAGTCCACCCTCCACTTTGACTGCCATTCACAGAAGATTCCTGTGCTTAGGCTTTTAGCAATAAATTAGTTAAATTGAGCCTTCATATGCAAACCTGATGCCTTTTTAATAAAGGGTTGAAACAGTGAAGACTGGTTATCATTCCAATAATGGTCACTAGAAAGGCACATGCAGCCACTAGATAATTTTCTGATTTAATAGGTTTGCCAATAACATCAGGGATGGAATATCACTGGACCAATAACATTCAATATTATAAATGTGACAGGTGATGATTTTCTTCCACTTTGTATAAACTAAGACTAGCTGAAGAGGAAGTGGCAGCAGCAGGATGGCCTGTCTAACAACATCTGAGCAAAAGATCAGTTGTCTCTCTTCAATCATCATTTTTTTCTGTAGTGTGAAAAAAGGTGCTGAAACCTCAAATCTTATTTCAGCAAGTAAACTTAACTAAATGATAGTG